TTTTTTGAGTATTCTAGGTCACATCGATTTCCACATAAATTTTAGGGTGAGCTTTTTCATTTTTGTAAAAATATCAGCTGGGTTTCTTTGATAGGGACTGCATTGAATCCGTAGACAAGTTTGAGTAGTATTGCCATCTTAACATTATTAAGTCTTCTGATCTGTAAACATGGGTTGTCTTTCCATTATACATGTGTACTTCATACAATAGCCATGTTCCCAAAATGGGATAAAATCTATTCTTCGTAAATTTCATGCATTTTACCAGCATGCCTGGCACATTATAGTTTGAAAAATTAACTCACACTTGAGCTTTAAGAGTTCCTGATGCTCAGAGCAACTAGCAGTGACCCATTTTGTTGTGTCAAGAGCCCCTTTTGTTGTACCAGTAATCATCTCCTAATCATTCAATGTATACAGTTAGGTTTTTTCACATACTGGCTTTTTCTAAAGTAGGGAGTATTGGTAAATATCTTTTAGTAGATCCTGTTCCAATCATCTATAACCCTGCCCCTGTATCCCAACTGGAAGGTTAGAAAGACAGTTGGTACACTCTTCTGGGGGGTTTGGAGCAGTAGCATACATTGGACCCACCAGAGGACATTTCCAAGAAACAATCACATCAACTTTCAAGGCTGGTGATAAGAATGGGGTTGGCCCCATTAAAAAGTGGTAAAGGACATGAACAGAAACTTTTCAAAACAAGATAGGCTGATGGCCAAAAAATATATGAAAAAATGCTCAACATCTCTAATTATTAGGGGCATGCAAATCAAAACCACAATGAGATATCACTTAACTCCAGTGAGAATGGCTTTTATCAAAAAGTCCCAAAACAGCAAATGTTGGTGTGGATGTGGAGAGAGAGGAACACTCATATGCTGCTGGTGGGACTGCAAACTAGTACAACCTCTATGGAAATCAGTATGGAGATGCCTCAAAGAACTAAAAGTAGAACTACCATTCGATCCAGTAATCCCACTACTGGGTATCTACCCAAAGGAAAAGAAATCATTTTATCAAAAAGACACCTACACTCAAATGTTTATTACAAAATTCACAATTGC